CGGCTACCTGATCCTCCAGAAGCGCCTCCTGCAGACGACGAAAACGCATCTGATGACGAAGGTCCGAAAGGACCTCCCATCAACATGCAGTTTTTGAATTTCAATGTGGCCATCATGTATGAGATGATTGACGCGTGGGGCTTGACTCCAAAGCCGTCAGTACACAAGATTGAGAAGGAGGTAGGAGTGGATAAATTTGTTTTGAGGTAATTATTGGTGTTAGACAATTTTGTGGTGTCAGTTCTGAACGATGACCTCATGAGTCATGTTCAACTCTGCCATGAGCCCGCCCTGTCAAGGTGGACAAATTCTACGAGGTCGCTCACATCAATGATAAAGCCAACATGGCGTACAAGGACGCTTGGAATCTGAAACGCCTTTGGGGCTTCACTGTCAGGAGGCAAAAGGACGCACATAAGAGGCATCAAACACCGCGTGCAACTTGATGGAAATAGACTGCCTAAATCTTTTTTGATTAAAGAAGAACGTTTTGGAATGTTTTGGGTAGTTTCATATGGCACGTGTTTTTTTCTTTTTATTGGACTGTTTCACTCAATCTTGTGAGGCAGACGATGTGCGACAGCTTTTTGCGCTGATTCAGAGGCTCCGCGAGCAGCATGGCTTCGCTGACAAATTAGTTGCCAACCGGAGTGCTGATGTGGAGTCGGAGTATGAGTCTGAGGATTGTGATGAGGGTTCGCAAGCTGATGGCAGCGAAGCTGAACCAGCTGGAGAAGCGCCTCTTGATGATAGTGGGGCTGGATGTTCGAAGGACAAGGCTAAAGAGCCTGCTCCGCTACCAAAAGACGATTCCAAGACATGTGGCAAAATCATTGAGGTCGAGGACGATGTTGAGATTCTATCTACCACTGCTGCTGCTCCAGTTGTTGCACAGCCGCGTCCGTCCTTGTTCCGTGAGCTTGCAATCCTGCAAAAGCAGATTTCCGAGTTGCAAGCCAGAATCTAGACCAGATGTCTCAAGAAAGTTTTGTAGTGATAGGGGAACTCCTGTGTGGTTTTGTGCGCATTGTGTGGGATGTGTGCCAATCATGATTCAACTCAATCTCAGGACGCTTGCGAGAAAGGCGGGCGAAAGAAGCTTGTGGGGCTACAGATATGCAGGTCGCCCAGTCAAACAAATGGCATGCTTTCAGTTGTCTGGTTGGTTGTGGGTTCATACTCCCATACTTCTTTTCTTTTGGGGTTCAGTCCGCAACCCTGTCAGGAGACCCTTCCATATGAGCCAAATGCGGTGGTTCTTGATGAATCACAGGTCACTCCAAATGGTGACGACCAGCATCGAGGGTACTTTGCTGGGAAGATCTTCAGCAATGAGATGCAGGCGTATAGATGCAGGCTGTCTTTCACGACCTATTGTTTTTGGATTCGTGAATGGGTATCAAATGGCTGTCCAAATAGAAACAGACCACCTCACAAAAAATACACAACATAGTTTACCAAAAGAGTTCTTTTGAAAGCTTTGAACAGGTCCTTAGGTTTTGTGTGAACGATAGTTCCCCGGAAGGCTGCTCGAGAAAATGATGCCGCTGACGGGAATGGCGCTGCCCCTGAGTTAGTTGATCCGGAGATGCAGCGTGGGCTCCGTCGTGAGAAGATTAATAAGAACAAGGACAAAAAAAACAAGAACACAAATGAGGGAACAGGTGAGCCAGGTGAAGGCAAAACGGCGCCCACAAAAGGTAAACCTAAGGCAAAAGCTAAGGCAAAAGCAAAGGCACAGCCAAAGAGCAAAGCTACAAAGGCAAAGGAAAAGAAAGAACCCCCAGGCAAAGCTACAAAGGCAAAAGGAAAGAACGAGACCCAAGGCGAAGCTACAAAGGCAAAAGAAGCGAAAGCCAAGCCCAAAGGTGAAAAGCGCACAGGTGATCATAACAAGGACGAGGATGGTGCCCCTGAACTGAACTCAAATGGCAAAGGTTTGGATCGGCCTCTGGGCTGCCCAAAGTGCAGGTGGAATGAAGATATCGGATGCAAACAGTGCAAAAACCCAAGCTACAGGCCAAGGAAAAACAAGCGACCTGAAAATGTTGACTAGGGAACTGTTCCAAAGGAGGCTTGGGATGACTCCCCGAACGTTTGGTCTACACATTATTTGTAGTTATGATTCAACTTATCTATTTCTCTATCTATATCTATATCTATATCTATCTATCTATATCTATCTATCTATATCTATCTATCCAACTAACTAACTAACTAACTAACCAGCTAACTAACTAACTATGTATTATGTACATATACAGCTGATCACCGTGAAGGCATTCCTTTTTGTTGGTTTTCAGGGTGAGATCATCCATACCTTTGGAATATTGCTTTTGAAGGCAGTCTGCGACAAACAAA